GGCAGTGATCAGATATTTTTATTATTTTTGAGAGGAGGTTAAAACGCATTTACGCACACTGAGACTCAATGTCCTCTCAGTACTACGGGACTTCCGCAGGCTCAATGTCCCCTGACTAAGAAAACTCCTCCATCTCCAAGAACACTAGCCTGGAACTGTAAGAGCACATTACTTCGAGCTAGCCCTTTTTAACTATGCCATTAGGACTTTCCTTCTATTTTCTACCGAAGGCTAAGGCCAATCGCCCCCAAGACCACAGCAGGGCCCTATGCGGTTGCGATACGGCATTACTACCATTACTACCATTACTACAATCAAGGAGATTTTTGCTAGGCCTGTACTGTCTGGCAGCCTGGGATGTGCAAAAACCCTAGACATTCCATCCCCATGTTAAAGTCGTAGCCATTTTTTCAATAAAATTTGTCTTAGTTGACGTGAGCCACCTACAGATTGCGCTGATCTATATTACTGATTTCTGCCGATTACATTATGGTTTTTACCAAGTCAATCTGATGGAATGACTGATTATGAGCTATAGCAACTGTTGTGACCCAGCAACTATGTCAGTAACGAAAAATAAGGTACAAAATAGAGTTTTAGACACTAGCGCAATCTGTGCCTGGCTCACACAACTACATTCTTTTTTCCTCCTTTAAGTCGCCTCTTACGACAATCTAAGGATACTGCAATCTACTCTAATGCCAGACCAGACCTAAGAGTCCACTACACTAACACACTCACTCACTCCCATGGCCATTTATGCCCAATGCGGCATTTGGCCACACCAACAACTGCTCTCCATCTCTCTCTATCTTCTGCCTCTTATTCTCTACTACACTAACTACATTTTTGAACAAAGCAAAGCTCAAGGAGAGGGTTTCTAGCCTTGACTACTAAATTCCGCACATGTCAGATACAAATTATTTCTATTTGTTATAATTTTTGGTTATTTCCATGATTTGGTGGTACTGAAAGAGTTCAAAAAAATGTTTTACGTATCCGTTTACTTGTAGATGAATTACTAGCAATTCTTTGCTTGTAATATCTCTGTTCACTAAATTTGAATTTTACTGTTTCTATGGTAAACTAAAATTAATTTAAAACAAAAATGAACCCTTTAGGTAATTGCTCAAAATTGTTAGGAAGTTTGTCTAGACAAAATTTTCAGGTATGTATTCACTAAATATGGTAGATATATTTTCCACAAGGCAACAAATCATTAATGATGATACTTGACAAAAGTTCAACACTATATTTGAACAAGATCAGGGTTTGGACTGTTCTCTTACAAAAAAAAAAAACATTAAAATCGCATTGCAACACAAAAAATAAAATGATTGCTAAAGAATCACTCTTTTTGTCCAAATTATAAATACATAGATGGTTGTTCAGTATTTAAAATCATAATTTTTGGTCGACAATCAAATTTGTTAAAATATTCATAGTTGCCTAAGAAACGCCTTATGCGATTTTGGGCGGGTGTCTAGAACCAAAATAATTGATATTACATAAATTTAAAAAGAACCTAGAATACCGTAAGAAATTCCCATTGAATAACTCCCAGATAATTCAAAGAGCCTAAGAAAATAACTGCTTTAGCTCATTCTAATTTATCTAGGCCACAAATGGTTGTGTACATTGCAACGTAAACGTTGATGTTTAGTGGAAGCAAACCTTTCCCTTTCCGATCTCTAAATTAAAAATATAATGTGTCTCGGTTCGACACTAAACTATGAATTGTTCCTTATTCAGACCGATGAAACCTGATGGTGTTCATTGTTGAAACACTTTATCATAAGTTATTGACTAAAAAAATTATAGTAGGCTAATAAATGATAAAATAGGATTTTGGGTAAAAGGGATAACAGTTTAGCTATTAGATTCTCGTCAATCTAGTCTCTGAATAGTCATGTATTAGAACAAAATATCAGTTATATGTTTTCAGCTCTTTTTAGGTGTATTTTTGTTGGTGCGGCTAAATATCACCATAGACAAATAGAATAAATATAGACTGTCAAAGGAAGTTTCCGGCGCCCACCACTAGGAGTGCTGTGCAGCACACCGCTGCAGGCAAGGAGCCGTATGCTACCTGCAGCGGTGTGCGCTGTAACTACACGACACTCCTAGCGGTGGGCGCCGGAACATATGCTAACCGCAGCACTGCTGCCGGTCTATATTCATTCTATTTGTCTATGATATCACCTACAATATAAATGGCCCATAGTATGGTGTGTTTAACAGTCCCTGGACTTAAATATTCTTAATTAAGCTAGTGGAACCCTATCTCTAATTTTTTTTTATCTGCTACTACTAGATTTTTCTAACAAAATATAACACTATTTATAAAATTCATAGTTGGAGCAGTTACATTTTACTGCAAGCTATAACATCTTAACTAAATATAGTTTAATAATTGAGTTTCAACAGGTGTTGAGAAGATGTTTCGTAGATAAACACGGAGACGAAGACATAAAATGGCAGTGGTCAGTGAGGGAATCGCCCTGTCAGGAATGCCACAAGTACGAGAAAAAAGGATGGCTCAAGTTCTGGGGGAAAAAACAAACGGAAGAGTTAACAAATCGTCATATAGAAGTAGTGCGCAAACCAAAGATTTGGGAGTGGGAATATTACGATTATTTACTCCCACAATGTAAGGAAAAACTAGCAGAAGAAAAGTTAGAATACAAAACTCCTAGCACGATTCCTTGCGGAGGACTTGGGACAAAAGAATGCCAAGGCAAACAGATACTCATTCACTTAGAAGATGAACACCGTTTCAAACAACATTGCCATGAGAAGTTAAAGTTTGAACTGAAGGATTCGTTCGGTCTCAAGGAAGTTTGTGGGAAACTGAACGATCTTAAAGGCGTAGAGGTTTCACAATCAGAGGAAAAGGAGAAAGAGGACTTTTGTTGCTTGAACAACTTGATTGACGAAAACAAAGAAAAGCAAGAAGAGAAAAGTAAAAACTCGCAATGTGATTAGATTTAGATTCCCAGAATACAAGGTGTTTTGGTAAAATGTATTAGCTTTTGTATGCTTTTATCTTCTATTGGTTTTGGATACAGAAGTCAACTTAGTGTATTGTTTTAGTATATTAAGCTACAAGGCTGGGAAGTGTAGGTGTTTAAAGGACAAGCAACAGTTGACGTGGGGGGATTTCCGAGCGCACCGTAAAAATCTTGCCGAATGAGTTGCGTACGATACTTTTAACCATACAACCAGCAACAATAGGATTTTGCTGATTTATCCACATAGACTAACATAACCATTCTAATATTTTGATTATACCACTTTGACAACATGGCCTACTCTAACTCGTACCTGTATTTGGATTTATTAGAGTGCAGATTTCAGCTGATTTCTTTAGACTTAACAGTTATTTCATGTGGAATTCCACAATATTCTCTACCGTAATGCATCTTCTGTGACGAATAAATTGGAAAAAGATTGCAATAACTCTACACAGTAGATATAAATCAAAGTGATTCAAAATAATGAAAAGTATAGAGTTGCAGTGAGCAAGTCTATATCGCTTAAAGCCTATTACAAAGGTAGACATTCTTGGTCATATGGTACACTTTTGAATACTAAGTCTTTGGGAATTTCTGGAAAAATAATTGCTGACATTTTGGATGTATTGTAGTGATCAATCTTCGGGTCAAGCTGTTCAACTGTTGTTTGGGCTAAAAAGAATTGGGTTTGAGAACTTGCTCTGTAGATGTATTGCGACACAACTGAAATAGCTAGTGTTTCTGTTGGATCAACAGATAAATAGTTCATAAGCCCCATTCACACAAGGTAAATTTAAAAGCTACATGCCAGCTTTTTTACACACAGCTCTAAAAATAGCTCAGTGTGAACGACGTACTCACTCAAAAGCTGCTTTTAAAAAGGCGCTAGAAAAAGTTTACACAGCGGCTACTTTACACACTTACTCGCCAGCTTTTGAGCGATCTAGCGTGTAAGTAGTTCAGTGTGAACACAGTTGCTTGTGCGCATTGGGGAAGTAGTAGTTATTAAGTGTAAGTAGCAAAAGTGATTAAAATGAATGGATTATATGGCATGATGAGAAACGGAAAAGGAGGAAAGTGTGGGTGAGACAGTTACGGAAGACGTACGGACTATGGTGCATCAAAAAAATTACTTTTTTTGGATTTCAGCTGTTTTTCATCCATGTTCTTTTTTTCCTCCAATCTTCAGCTGTTCAAAACCCTCAACGGTTTATTCCACAAGGATGGGTGCTTTTGGTACCTACTCGTTTAGGAACACTGATACATTTCCCACAGACCATTTCATTTTAAATGTAAGCAAACACCAACACAACCAGCAAGATTTCACAATTAAAACACCCAGAGGTCTGGTCAGAAGCAGGTACTGAGCGAGTAGAAAAAGCATTGTGTGAACAAATACCAACGCACTCGCTGGCGTGTGTGTGTGCTTATAAACTCGCCCCGTGTGAATGGTGCTTTATGTATAGATTTTGTTATGTTTTACGTTTTACCCACATCAGAAAGTGATTTAGCTGAGTCCAGCTGCTTAAATTTAATTCAGGATAAAATTCCAAACCTCCCAAGATTAAATTCAAGTTTTGAATACAGTAGACTCCCTGTTATCCAAACTCCTTGAAACCTTGGCCAGTCCGGATAACGGGTTTTCTGGTTAAACCAGCGTCCTCAAAAACTCGTTAAAACGGACCGTTTAAATGCGTATTTGACTGAGATTTAGGAGAGCATTGTATTTAGACACCTGATCACTGGTCTCAAACGAGAACAGTCATTACAGTACCGCCCACTTCCTGCCAAACTAGTCCGGTTAATCCGATGTGATGATAAATTGTCCGGTTAAAGAGATGTAATTTCCGCCGAGTGTAGTCCGGATAAGAGGGAGTCTACTGAAAAGTAATGGTTCTGAAGAAGCTAGGAATTGAATAAAGTAACGTTTCCCTCCTTTGTGTTTCAACAGAGGATGAAAAAATAATTTTCAAACATTTTGTAAAATCACAATTCTTTAATGGAAACAACCTATTTTACAAAACAATTTGAACCGATAGCAGTAGACTTTGGCATATAAAACTTATTAACAATATTAAATGCATCAAAATAGCAATTCATTAAGTACTATAACAAGAGGCACTAATACAATCAAATTTATATCGAGGCTCTTTAAAATTTGTGTATAGAGCAAACTTTACTGTATTATTAAGATCACAGTCACATTTGAAAGCTTTGCGAATTGTGTACAATAACTTGATTAAAAAGAGAGCAAAATGAGTGTTGAATTAAAATTATTAAAATAAAAATAAGTTACCAGCTTATGATTGAATAAAATATTAAATTTAAAGAAAGCAAACATTTGAGGTAAAATATACTAATGAAAGTTTTATTATAAAACAATGTCACACTTCTGATATGTCAACTGTTAAAATAGTTTCACTAATTTTAGGAAAATCACATAGGTTCACTTAAAAGTACTAATACTGCTGTTAAACTAAAAGTTTGAAACCAATAAAAGATTTTCTCTCACTGAGTTGTTTTTTCAACTTGTAAAATAGCCAGATGCTGCAAAGTTTATTTTCAAAACTGAGTTACAAAAATCACTATTTTATTGCAAAACAGCAAATTTAGGATTTATTTATTTGCTTAAAAACTAGAATTTACAGCTTTAAAATAAAGTAAAAGAATTTTGTTTAAAATTTAAAGAATAAGGAAACATACACTAGAGAAAACGAAAGATGATACTATTATTCAGGAAAATAAAAAATATAATTTTAAAAATTTGGGGCCAAATTCAAACATTTTAAAATTGCTAACTTATCTCTGGAATTAACTGGTAATTTTTTAAATACTAGGAAAGTACTTAAGTTTTACTTAATTAATTCACCTTATTTAGAAAACAAATTTTGTATAAATTTGTCAGTTGTCAGTTTTTAAAACACTAATAGTGGAGAACATCACCTGAAATTATCTCTAAATTTGAGTATTTAAGAATTTCTAGTGTTAATGTTCTCAGACTTCCTAGAACCTGCTAGGATCTTTTTTAGATTAACTCGGACTTTTTTCTTCTCCTTTTCAGTCTATTCCGTAAACTTCACCGCCTTTACGATAATCTGCGTTGGCGTAAATGTGCTCGCCTTGTTTGGCGAGAGCACAAACAATCGAGCCTCTGTCCCTGTATCGGATCGTTTTGTGACCAAGTTTTTGTAGGCCCTTGATTAATGGCTGAAAAATGCAAATTATTTCATTAATAAACTCTGTTTATCTACTGCAGTAAAGAAACTTTATGCCTGAGTCACACATTACATAAGAATAGGCACACGTACGGATTTAGGTGTTTTTATCTCTTGTTACTTACGGATCAAAAAGAAAACTGATTAAACCTGTTAACGTTTTTATTTAGAAACTAAGCATTGACAGCAACTTACTTTCTTGTCCATACAATATCGCCTGTTCAAGTGTGGGAAAGTAAAAACAATTGCAGCAAAATAGAAACTATTGCGGAAAAGTAAATTGAGTGAATTAAAGTAAAACTAGTGTCACTCCACTAAATATGTAGATAAATCAAAATCTAGTGTCACAAAGTAAAAACAATAACTTAAGCAAATTGAAAACTAGTGTCGCAAAGTAAAAATTTGTGCGGGAAAGTAAAAACAAGTGTTACAACGTGAAAGAGCGCACGAATCTACTCTTTTACTTCTTGTAATTGTAATTGCAGTGTAATTGTTATTGGTAGCTCCTTTTTAGGTAACAGTGCCGGAAGACCGAGTTCTGCTCGGATTCAATAAAACATTTATTAAATAAATTAATTGTTGAATCAAAACTTTTGCAAACCTTCTCATTGCCCAGTAGCATTTGGATAATTTTGTTGTTTATCTTTCCAGTTTCAGCATTAAGTGTAGCAAGGATAGCACGGTATTTAAAAATTTCTAATATTGTCCGTTTGCAATGTGGCTGCAAAATGCTTATTCAATAATATCTCTTATTTTTTGGTTTGAAGAACACAGCTAACATGTACAAAGCTAATTACAACTATATTTTAAAATGTTTAGTCCAAACTAACAAATGCAGTTATTTTTTTTATCAAATTATGACAATTAAAATATTCTGTAACAAGTTAACAACCGTTTTTCTTAACTGCCGCTACAAAAAGGTGTTGCTGATAACATGGGCACTTTCAAGGGCTGTGGGATAAAAACCGGATTTTTTCACAGCATTGTGACCAACTCCAATCCATTTCTCGTGGCCAAAGACCCCATATTCAACAAAAAAATAAAAAATCCTTGGTCGAAAATAAAAGTTTGTCTGTAAAAACGCTTGTTACAGAGTATATAGGATATGGTTTGAGTATAAGAGTATAGGAAAACCTTTTTTACGTAAAACAAGGTTACTTACAGCAATGACTCCATATTCATAGCTAATCTGCATTGGATACAGCTGATGATGGATTCTGCTTGCATCCACTGCTTCTTTGATTGACTTTCCCAACCATAAATATTGCATTATGACCTGAAAAACAAATTAGCATTTTATCATTCTGTATAGTAAGTTGCTTTTAGTGATCCCAACTCAAGACACAAAATATGTCCAGTAGAACTCAAAATCTGTCTCAAAATGTTGGTACTGGACCCCATCCGTATAGCCAATGATTCGAATAATTGGATTTTTCTAGGATTATCGCTCGCTGGTTGATACGACATTACAATAGACTTATCGTGGACACAATTGGCACATATTACAAGATATTGCCAATTAATATCTTAAAATACTACCTTAATATCAAAAATACTACAATTTTCTTGGATTGAAGATTGATGTAACCCTGAGTTGGGATGATCACATAAAAGGAGTACTTTCCAAAATCAATTCAGAGATACTTGCTCTTTCAAAAATGTCAGGCCTTTGTGATCTTGAAACTTTAAGGGTAATTTTTTCTTTCATTCATCCATTCACACATACCATTGGGTGTATGCATCTATGGTTCTGCGAACAAAACTTCTTTAGGTATGATTTTAAGAAGCCAAAAAAAGCTATCAGAAAGATGTTGAAATTGGAAAAAGATGAATTTGTTGAACACTTTAAAGGCCTAAAAATGTTAACCTAATTTTTTTCCAACTTTGATAATTTGCACACTGTCTACCCTTTATGGCATAAAATTTAGTTTTATAGACAGATTTATGTGTAGATTTAATTATTTAAAATGTCCAATGCATGCCTGATGAATGATAAACGTTTCAAAATCTACTAGGGTTTGGATCGTCCGCTTAAAAAATGCCACAGACAGAGATATAAAAAAAATAATGAATGTGAGAATTTTCTCACAAAATGACGTCAAATTCCACCTCCGCCACTTACCCACGACACTGAGGTGGTGATCTTGGTGCCCCCGCTGGCCCCGACGACCATCCGCACGTCTCCACTGCTGTCTACTATGATCGTGGGGCTGACGGAGCTCATTGACCGCTTGCCTGGTTCTATAAAGTTGGTGGGAGACGGGTAAACTCCATAGTAATTGACCACTCCAGGTAAAGAGAAGTCATCCATGCCACTGTTCAGTATGATTCCCGTCCTCTCTGACGTCACTCCTCCGCCAAAACTGTCAACAGATTGGTTTCAGGATAAATTTTCTGGTAATAAACGTTTCTTTTAGATTTGCATTTGTGAATATATATTATTGTGTATGAGGCGAACTATTTCTTTGTGGAAAAGTTTCAAAACCTGAAATTCAAGGCGTTATGGCGGACATTTTAAATTCAAAATATCAAGCGTGTCATAATCATTATTGTCTCGTCTTTCAGCAAGATCTTACAATTGAGCTAAGTTCAACAAGTTATTTATTTTTAAAAGTGGAAAAATTTTAACGAGACTAACGCACAACTGGGGAGCAAGCTGGTCTAGTGGTAGAGCAGACTGCTTCAGTCCCCTAGGTTCCAGGTACAAATCCTGCCAATCACCGGTGGATTTTTGTCAACTGATATTGCCGCGACTTTCTACGTTCAACCTGAAGTCATGTGAAATTGGTTCCAGGCAAGAGCCTACTGTCCTAGATGGTAAAGGTGGGACATACAAAATTGGACGTCCACTCACTAGAGATTAACAGTGCTGGTGACCGCCACGGCGTCTCCGTCCGGCGCAATGATGCTGATGTGTGCCGTGCCGTGGTCGTCAGGGTTGTAGAACACGGCGCCATAGTGGGCGGCCTCCTCAAACGTACGATCATCCCTTATCAGTGATCGTACACTGTTAGCGTAGTCATCTGACATCAGGTTGGCCAACAGCTAGGGAAAATAGACCAAGATTATTTTTTTGTTTTAATATTACTATAGGAAGTGCAAGGTTATAAAAATAAAAAATATATAGGGTACCTATTTTTATTTTTAGTTATGAATAATACGACAAAGCTTTACACATAAGTGCTATATCCATAAATTTACTTTTTGAAGCAATTTTCTTTTGTAAAGGAATTGTCCAGTAGGAGTCAGAAATAAATTTTTCACGAAATGATAGGTTGTGTATTATTTCAATGTTACTCAAGTTTCACGTATAATTCTGGCAATAGATTACTGAGAAACCCATATTATTTGTGTAACAGCGTCTGAACTGTTTAGGATGAGCATCAACATTAACATCTCAAAATAATAGTAATAGTCGTCTCAAAGGAACTACTAATCACCAAAATAAAAGGGAGTAAAATTACCTTGCATTAGAACAAATGGCTGGTACGTACTGGAAGAGGAACGGATGAGGAATTTATAGGTGATAAAAATAGTATTATTTCACTATTATAGCAAAGTAACAGAATTTCCTATCACTACCCAGTATAAAATCACACTTACATCTTTGATATCAACAAAGTCCGGATCGCCAAGTTCCGTGCGCCTGGCGTAAGCGTACTTAAATGCTTCTACCATCCTGTGAACGGTCGTTGTCATGTTGCCGAGCGTACTCATGCTGTCTGTGGTCATGTTGTATCCGTCGAGGATGTTGAGGATGAAGGCGAGCAGGGCGCCGGCCCCGGGCGGAGGCGAGGTGTAGAGTGTGTCGCCATGTAACTTCACAGTGATCGGCTCTCTCCATACTGGTCTGCATGGGTAAATTGATAAGTGTTATTTTGTTTGTAAAAAAGTAGGTTAACATTGGATCAACTGGAATATTAGCTTGGCAATGGGAACTGTCCGCTGTGACCAACATTGGCCCTGTTGGACAACAGAACATAACGGAGCAGATGACAGCACAGATCTCACACCTTGATAAAAATAAAGGTCAAAAAACAATAGCCGATTGTATTAAGAAGTAAATTTTACCCATTCAGTAATAGATTTTCGATGACAATAATTAAAAAAACGTCCAAAATTACTGGTGTGGATATTTTTTGAACCGTACTAGCCGTAAAATTTGAACTGTTGACTAACCAAAAAATTATCCAAAACAGCCTTGCCTCATCGATTTATGTTGATCACGGTTTTAATGTAAGATTGAATGAACCACCACTTATAGAATGCACGTTATAGATTCCAATCATAATTTCACCCTACAAGGAAAAGACTCATACATTAGGTCATGAATAACATTACGGACCTTTCACTTGCCAATATTTGCACAACCATTCTAAATAAAAACCTGACTTCAGTAACCTAAAAGACAAGCTTAGAACAGCTCCAGCAGGGTTAGTTTCACAAACTTTTATAGATATGATCAGCTGATTTATAATCAAACTGCACAACATTAACCGGGTTTTTTTCACTTCTCTACTTACTTGTAGTTCCGCATGTCCTTTTCAGTGATAATGCCTCCCATACTTTGTACGTCTTCAACGAACGTCTTGGTGAGAGAACCATCGTGTAACGCGTCTCCTCCCTCTCGCGCTATCACTTTGAGAGTTTCGCACAACCGTCGGGGTCGAATCAGAGTCCCCATGGTCTTGAAGCCTCCAGTTGAGTCCACAAACCATTCCCTGCAATTGTAATTTGAATGGCTAAATTATTATTTACATTAAAATATGAACTTTTCAGAAGAGAAAATTCTATTGAGTTTGACACAATTTGAGACCATGTCATGCAAGTGAGTATTTTGCGTCAAGAAAATGCTCTCTGAGAGTCAAAAGGTCACTTTTTAATTTTTAGAAAAGTCATTAGCTTTTTGATGGATTAATTTGTCTTTGATCTTAGTTAATTTTCTTCTTAAGTAAAAGTTTTTCTTTTCTATGAACTTAATCCAGCAATGCTTTAAAACTATAGTTGTTATTTTGCGCTATTTTGAATATTTCTGTTTATACTTAATTTACTTTCCGTTTGCATGATTAAATAATTATTATTTAATCTTGCCACGGTTATTTCTCAATGAGAAACTAACCAAATATTTCAAATGTATTTATTTTATAAACAAAAAAGTATCCTAGAATACGTAGTTTTTGACACCTGGTACATTTAATCTATGTTAAAGTGTTAAGACACTTAGGTTTGTGTAAAACTTGTTGTATCGTAGCTAAAACAGTTATCAAAAATAAATTTAAATTTACAAAACTAGTTGATTTTTTAAACTCTTTTAAGATATTTATTGATCTGATTTACATAGATTAATAGATTTAAATTAAATTTAACAAGTTTAAAAGTCACTTAAAGTTGTAGATATATTTAAAAAATTCAAAATATAGATAACAACAACCAGTAAAGACTAATTTATAAGAAAGGAGACAAAACAATTGTGAGGTATCATCTTGCATTTCTGTTTACTAGGTGTGATGCCTTATCAAGCATAATGGCTGTTATTGTAAACAAAAACAATCAACTGTGGATTCAAGGTGAAATTTGTTATGTTATACAACTTGATTCTCTCTCGCTTACTTCGGTTATGCAATAAAAAGAAAAAAAAGTTAGCTATGAAGTTGTATTTATTAAAAACACATTAGAAATTTTAAAATTAATCTAGAGGTTAATATACCTTTAATCCGTCAATGTGATCATACATCACCAATGAACGGCGACCGGTTTCAGCCCAGCTGTGGGGCCATCTTCAGGCGATGAAAGAACATAAATTCACTCCGAAGAGTTTGTCAGAAAGTCTATAAATACACCACGAGGAATAATGCATAAATACATTTTTAACAAAAACACAAGCTGTCACAAATCGACTGCCCGGCAGACGGTTCGTGTACAATGAGTTGCTAGTCCAGACTTGAGTCCGCCACGCAGTCAATTCGTGGCAGCTTGTGTTTTTGTTAAAAATGTATTTAACTGTTATTCCTCGTGATGTATTTATAGACTTTCTGACAACCTCTTCGGAGTGAATTTATGTTCTTTCATCACCTGAAGATGGCCCCTCTGCTGGGCTGAAATCGGTCGCTGTTCATCGGTGATATGATCACATTGACGGATTAAAGGTATTTTAACCTCTAGATTAATTTAAATTTGTGATCAGGAGGCAAAAACACCAGAAATATATGAATTTCTCCTCAGAACTCATAAAAAAGGAAAAATTGTGACATCAAAGTCTAAAAGCCCTCAAGTGTATTCTCAACTTGAATATGGATTATTGGTATTGATATTGGTATAATGGTGACAACTTTATCACCCCAAAATTGGCTCTGATAGTACAAAGTAGTTTTGACCTTTCCCGTTGATTCACTAACATGTTTTTTTTTAAGGTTGAAATGTTAAAATTATACTCAAATCCCATTTAGGGTTCAGTTGTATTATAACCTTTGACTGTTTATGGTAACAGATAACTTAGTGTTAGTGAATTATCGGAAGAGAAACTGATAATATGATTAAAATTGTAGGAACGCCTAGGAAGATTACACTACCTCAAGTTGGGATCGCTACGGAACAGATCAGGCCGGAAATGAAGGTTGTCACTTTGATGTTTGCTCATGTGGTAACCGTCTCGGCAGATCTGTAACGTAGGTTCTACTACCTCGGCCCACGGAAGACGGCCGAACTTCTTGTGCGCCTCCCAGTATCCTCGCAGCTCCCCGGGAACCCCTGACGCGAGCGCCCCTGTAACCAACAAAGTAACTGAGTCTACTAAATCAAGAGGGTTACCGGTTCAATCCTAAAAAAAAGTAAGTCGGAAACATTTGTCCTATTTTGCAGCTTGTTTATACAACACATTTTATTTTATTTTGTTCGGACAGTCAGTAAAAAAACCCCTGCCTTTTGTAACTTTATCTTTAAGTTGTTAAATGGTGTTTTCTAACAAGTTTTTTTTACAGATTCAAATGTTGAAAATGAGACACGTTTCAAGTGATACTGAGTGAATGTGTTGCGAACCTCTGATTAATTCACCAAGTTTTAGATGAGCGACTTCAACTAACATACTCTATACCCATTCACCTACAAGGTAATAGAATTTACTATGCATACTGAAATTGAGATATCTTACCTATATGAGCAAAATGTAACTAAGCAAGTATATTTTACACAGATGACTTTCATTTTTTCTTTCTCCCCCTACTAGTAACAGCATGCTCTTCTTGGCTGTTTAATTGTTTGCTTCAAATCACTAAGATTTCAAAAGTTCTCATAATAACTATTATGTGACTGACCTTAATCGGTACGGCAAGATAAAAGAAACTCAAACTAATTTAAACAAGAAAATAAAATTTCACGAGAATAGGAAAGATGACTTAGGGAATGAAACAAACAAGAAATATTTAATGTTAGGACAAAATTAATTATGTCTTTAGTATTAATGAATCGGATTTGTATTACTCAATAAGAGCAAAGTTTGCAAAGCAATTACGTCTGAAGAAATAAACCAGTCAAAATTTGAATCATCATTTTAAATGCAATGATGTTAAAAAATAAATAAATAAAAACAAAAGTAAAACTAATCATTAGTAATACTTTGCAGAAATTTGTACAGTTCAAAACAAGTGCAGAATATTATCGAAAAACTATCTTGACCTTCCGTCTATCGCTACTAAGTTATTATTCAGCATAAACATTGCTATCTCAATTTGGGTTTTGGACTCTAAGGTCAGGCTATCAAAGTCAGCTTTTTTACCCATTCGATTGATTATACCAATTTCAAATGGTAAAATGTGAGCTAAATAATTGATAACACTATAAATTGGATATTCTAGAACGAACAGTGGGTCCTTAAATAATTATAATATTTGTGTTATTAATTAACACTTAGATGTCTGTTATTTTGTAATTAATTAGGATTAGACTACAAACTTTTGCAGATAATTTTAGGACATTTCCAGGGCCAAGATTCCCAAACATTAACTTAAATTTGTTGGTTCAAATATAAATTTAAACAAGGATTGATTTTACTCATGACATCCAATATATTTAACGTTACTTTAAAAAGAGATATTTGAATAAATGCAGTGTTTACATTAACTGTTAGGTGTATTGAAAAAGTTCAATTACATTTTGATATAATAAATGATTACTAAAATAGAAAGTATACTGTACTGAGATGTTTGGTACTAAATATTTACAAAGCATTTTTTAAGGAACATGCCCTGCTTGATAGATATTTTGTACCAACAAGACCATCCTAATGCGCTACTGATTATAGACAAAAACCCAGGGCTCGATTTGCGGGGGAATGGAGTTCCGGTACCTCTCTTTTGTAAAGAAAAAGTATTGGCATAAACAAGGACATTAATAGGTACTAATCTCATTAAATAGGTTAATTCATTTTTTTACAAATTGAGTACTGCAAGAACATATACCTAAGCTTTTCAAAGTCTATTTAACAACAGTAGCATGACTAAACTAATGTTTCATACATTATTATAAAACAGTTGATTTCTGAACCCATACTATTTGTCATTGAGCTTCAATTAAGGATGATTTCTAAAAAATCAACAAAATAGTAACAAAACCAGGAGATTACACAGTTCCCTTCCAAAAAACTTCAAATACCATTATTAAAGAATATCGTTGAAACAAAACTAAATCCGTCCACACTAAATATGTCTACATCGCAATCGCAAGGTTTATAATTCAAGTTTTATTGGTCTGTCAGTTGGTAAAGTGAAAGACTTTAAAAACATGAAAACAATGTTATGGGTCCAGATTCTGGTACCTTTTTCCAAAAATTTACTTTTACTCTTGTACTGCAACCTCGCTTTTCTGGATATATATTCTATGTTAAGAGAGGCCGCCAACCTCTTAAAAAGAGAATTTGTAATACCGTACATTTATACTAAAATAAATATAATATTTTTAACTAGTTTTTTTCTGACTTGCCATAACTGTTATTTTCACTTTTATATTAATTGAATCATAACAAATAATTTCAAAGTACATGTTGTCGCAAATGATTCATTAATTAAATTCTTTTATACACAAATTAGTAACCTCTAACTTATAATCCTAGAACCCAAAAACATAGAGATATTCTTAAAGAACAGTAATGTTTTGAAAGGTAATGCGCAGAGCATAGAGAGAGGGCGTTAACTCACACTTGAATAAACAAAACACAGCTGTGAGCCACTTATCAAACTGTTTGAAAATGAACCAACAATCAGATTACATATGCACTTGGTGTAGAACAAATTCATCGGGAAGTTAAATTATACTCTCCAAAGAAAAACTTATTCAGATTCCAAAATGACATTGTTTTGAATAACAAATCACTTACCTGGTTTTAGCTTTTTCTATCCTATTTCAGCTGTTCTTTATTAGTTGTTGAGGAACGCTAAGTTATTTGTAGGGAAGAATAAATTACGTTTAGCTTTTTTAATACAAAGATGAATGGTTACTAACTTTTATCCTAGAGGCATGAAGGTTAAAATCTTACCAATCACCTACGGTTCTAACAACTGTTATCATGCTGTGCCACAGTGGTGCTGTATTAAACCTTAGAAATTTCCACTTTGTCATTATTATGGTACTGGAAAAATATGTCAACACAAAACAAACTGTACTAAATAGTGGCTGGGTAGCTGAGGGATTATAGTGCTCGCCAAACAATCAAAAGGTAGCTGGTTCAATCCTGAGAAAAACTTAAAGTTTTTCTTTAATCGACGTGAGGGGCTCTCCCACAATCCCCCACTCCTTCGCAGAAAAGGTTCTCATCAGTTCTTCATCTCTCCCTGATTATTGGGTTAAACAAATTATCCTGACTAATGAAACAGCTGATCTTAGTCAGCAAAAAGCTACACAGCTTTTATTTGACCAAAATTCAAATTTCTCTGCGCAAAAGGTACTGTGTGCAAAGATTGTATAAAATTAACTTGCCACTGGACAGTTTACAGTGATAGCCATGTTTTAATGCTTGTTCCTTGTGTCCCTCACACCATACTGGGTACTCAATTGTCTGGAAAGTCGCTGGTTTGATTCCAAGCAAGATTGTTCTTACGCAAGCAGTACACAATAGCCAAATGTTCGACAGAATATTCTGCCTAGTTTTTGGCTGGAATCGCGACAACAAATGCTGCCGAACGTGAACCACAAGCTCACCCAGTACACGCTCACTGATAGTTCGACTTACTTTAACTAAATGCTTCAACTAGTGTTATTGGCATTACTAAATAGCATATCAATTAATGTTTGCTGACGGTGAAAGCCAAGGTAGAAAAAGCAATGGTGGGATTTTTCAAAACATTGTGTTGTGGAACAATATTTAAAAAAATAAAATAAACTCCCGAAGTCAAAAACCACTGCCTGGATCAAATAGGCTAGCCTATTGTTGTACCGTGCCCTATTTTTTTAAGTGGTGGTGCTCTTCCACTAAGTCATAACATAAAGAAGCCATTCCCCAATGATTATTAGTTTGGTAACTTAACAAAAATTTAATTACAGAATATCAAAATCAAGAGTTGTAGTAGAAAATACTTTGAAACAAAAGTGTTTATTCGTTTTTCCAGTCCATCAAAATTTATTGCACTACTCAGTCTCACATAATGAACTGGAGACAAGACAAATTAATGAGTATGAACTAACACTAGTTTGGGTGAGCTCAATAGGCACTCGCATTTGCTCGTCTCCTTTGAGTCGTCCAAAAACAAAAAAAGGAGCGCAGACAAGCAAGGATCATGGCATTGCGAACTATCGCGAGCCTACACAAGTAGAGCAGGTACACAATCGTACTAGCCATAGCTCGCCTATATGTGGCGATAGTGTACTGCTAGCATTAACTCAGCTGCCATTAAACAGTTAAATTATAAACTTGAATATTGGACTCTCAATGCATAATGGTATGTAAAAAGAGGTCGACGCTAGGCTGTAACAAGACTAGGGTTTGGAATATTTCTTTAAAAATGTAAAATACAAAGGCGTAGTAAACAAAATACTTGAGATTACACTAGACTGGGACGGGTGGTGTTGTCCTGTAATCCAGCTGCTAGGAGGTCATGAATTGTGGATATTTATAGGCATGCATTGTGGAATCGATACTCTCTGGTGTGGATTAACGTCCGCACGAGTGAGTAAAACGACTATCCGCAGTACTATCCTGATAATTAGACCAATTCGTATATACCAAGGAAAAAATTTGGTTCGGATTCCTCTATAAACCGTAGGTCCCTTAGTTGCCATTAGCTGTATGGGCTATTAATTAAGAGCTGTGTCTAAGGAATATGTCGACCTTAGTCACTAACAAGACTACAAGATCCGCCACTCATCTCCATTCATACTTGGCTTAAAATACCTACTTTGTATGGTCGCCATTTTATCAAAAAGTATAAAAGTAAAAAAGTATAAGATCTGTACATCACATCTAGATATCAGTTTTATTTAATTCACCAGAATATCAGCCTACTTATACCAATCTTCACATTTTTCTTACCCATCAACCTCAATTACCAGGAAAAAATCAAAAATTGTAACGACTGAAACCCATTGTTTTAAACCTCATGGAATCGCTCCACATTTTATAGAATGAGAACTTTTGTAATCTTTAACATTCCAAAACCTACCATGTCGTGACAAGGAGTTGTTGTGGGCGAACATATCCCTCGTAGCGGCACCTGGAGCAGTTTCTCTGGCAACTAGAGCCTGAGAGGTCTTGGACTTGCGGTCGTACACTGTCATGATGAACCCTCCGCCCAGTCCCATACTCTGCATGTTGACCACCCCATTGCAGAATAGTGCTGCCACTGCAGCATCCACTGCTGAACCATTCTTGGCCAAGATGTCTCTGGTAATCCACAGAGCATACTTTTCAAAACGGTTAACTTCCAGTTTACCTGAGTTCAAGTGTTTAACTTATACAGAAAGGTTTTAATTTACTAACTCATTTTAGGCCTAGTTGTTGGTACCTTGTTTGGCTTCATAGGCTACTTACAGTTAGGTACCTATGAAAGTAGTACCTTAGGGCTGATAATTTTGAATTGAACTGATTTTAGCTTTTAAGTAAGTTTTACAGTAAAACTTTTAGTGTAGGTTGATGAATGCATCCATTTTAGAAAGCTAGTATTGCAGCAAAAACAGCCAGTTTTTTTTAAACAGTTAAATTAACTAATGTCACATTGATTCATTAAATTTAAAAGTTTTGATGTAGCGTTAGAAATTGCCAGATTACCAGCAGGCCCTAAGCTTATTTTATTTTACATTTAAAGCTGAAACCAAAAGTTTAATTGTATGATAGGCTACTAACCACTGATCAAGGCCCTATTTCCTGGTGCCATTGTTTCTATTTTACGAACTTCATAAAGTACAAACATTTTTTATAGGCTACTGTAAGTTTAATCCATTTGCTACGACATACCAATTAATAGGTTTAGGCTATACTGAAAATGTACGATACTCTTCTAATTGTCATGACACAAAACTTAAGTAAAGCTACCAAGATTGTATACAGTATTTTACCATCAAGTGTAATTCAATTAACTTTAATCCTATGCAACAAACCAAACTTTAAAGTTGTAAAGCCTTAAGTGGTGTCTCAATTAGCTGGTTGTAAAATAGTAAGTAAAACGGCTAAAATGAAACAATCTAGGCCTAGGCTAGTTTAGAATAAATTAGGAAATAGGTTAGGCCAATATAACTATATTAAGTTAACATAGTCTCTAACCAGGTAAGTTACAGGTTGTTGAAAAGATAACACACTGCAGTATAAATACAACTTAATTTATTATTCGTAGAAAACAAATCATTACTTAGTACAAAATAGTGGTTTTAACACATTCATTGTTAAATAAGTTAATTTAATGACGATGAGAACTTCTGGATATTGGAATCAATTGGCAGATGGTAGGCCTATCCTTGAAGTTATAAGTAAGGAATTACGTTATCACAATAGACAAAAGATAAAACTAAAAACCTGTTTTAATCGGTGTTTAGTCCATTGCTTCTTGATAACAACTTCAACGACCGTTTCCAGTAGAAGTCCCATTTCGAACAAGTCCCAACAACTGCTTGGGAGAAAACTCAAGTCAACATAACACACTATTTCAAATCAACGAGTCCGAGTACCAAAAAGTCCAAGTCTTAAATTATCACTGGGGAGGTTTTGGCTTCGTAGTTTCAGGCTTCTTATTCTGTTCAGTCTTCATTTGTTTGTCAGTAATTTTCCTTGTGTGTCCACTGGGGTCAAAGTGATTCGTGTGCTCACTGGCTTCTTTCTTCGTACGCTGTTTTCCACTGTGTCCAGAATAGAGATGCTTGTCAATGTCGAAATTGTAGTGCTCGTACTCATCGAAGTGGGTTTCGGACATGTTTGTAGAAAATTAGTGAACTATTTCACAAAACTAAAGACAGAACGACTGGCTAATACCGTGGATGTTCACAACTAGACGTCGTCAACCTTGAATCTGAAGAGGAAGGATTAATTTTGTTTTGATGTCGAAACGAAAGTTGACAGAAGCTTGTGCGCTTGCGCAAAGAAACCGTTCTCGCTTCTGATTGGTCAAGTTCGCTGCCAGCTGTTTTGCAAAGCATTATGGGTGGCGGCAACGGAAAGTGCCAGAAGAAACAGAAGTTGGCGGCTTGGCGTTTGAATTTAATTCTGACACGACATGAAATTAAGGCTAGGGCCACACTTGGCGACTTTGTCGCGGCGACAAAGTCGCGGCGTCAATGAATGAAAGTGCGTAGCATTAAATTAAATGGAGGCGGCCACACTAAGCGACTCACGACCAGCGACCACCGGCGACAGAAAAATAAACGCGACCGGGAGCGTTTTTCGGTCGCGGCGACAAATACGCTCCCCATGTTATCTTACGGCACCGGCCACACTAGGCGACAAGTCGCTCACTCAAACCCCCTTTGTTGCTCTATTTTCATATCTATGCTATTTAGTTTTGGACTGGCATGGAAAATATGCGTTTAAAATACAAATATTTTCATCGACAAAATAAGTGTCGGCATGTTTACATGTGTCCTGTAGCATATATAAGATTTAACTTGTCTTCAATGTCATTAGCTTGCCAAAGCTATGCACATAAAAAAATACTACAAACAAGTTTAATATAAAAAACGCCATCCATAAACAATGATGTTTCAGGTAATTCGCTCCATACCTGTGGTTTCTCATCCTTTTAGCGAATTTTCCATATAGAGAATAAATTATTACGGTTGCATGGTAGGACCTAAGCCCAGGACCGATTTAATTTTTCGTTTTGAGGACCTCAGAGGCTAAAACGCCCTCCGTTCAAATTCATATATAAAAGTACATATGTATCAATATCCATATGCAGTGTATATATTTTATGTTTATATAGGTCTATGTGCCCATTAGGGCGATAACTCAAGCAAAATTTATGAGATTTTAATTGTATTTGGTACAAATGTTTAAACCAACGTTAATTCAAACGGGCTCGCAAATTAGAATGATCAGACTATCAGAATAAGGCCTTAATAAGTTTTAAGGGGCTTTAATGGGGTATAACATTAGTTCTTTCTTATTTTTGACTCTAAAACATAAATTTCACAATTCCCTTCCAAACTGTTTTGTTAGATAAAAAAATAAATACTTTTGTACATTTTAAGCGGTGTTGTAAGCCTAGCGATTACGGAGATGATTAAAAAACAATTGTCAATTTATAATGCCCGTTTTTATGGAGAATAACCTGTTGTAGTTTGCTTGTTTATAGATATATTTTAATAACATTTTGCAATGTTGTTAATTTCGTACTAAGCTATCAAAATTTTAATTAACAAGAACACCTCATTAGGTTACCTTATCTGTACCAACAAACCTAAGCATTAATTTAAATTCATCTTATATAAATTGGAAATAAATCCGACAAGTTTAAGTGAATATTTTAGTGGAAATCTAGCCAAACAAATGTAAATTCGCTTAGTCTGCAGGCTTTTTGCGGCGGGGGTATTTAGATATACAAGAGATAGCAACATCAATCATTAAACAGTGATCAGACGATTTAGACGTCCACATTGGTTTTAGAAACATAATTTAACACTTTAATTTAGTAAAAATTGTATTCCTTTCTTGCTGGTAAATGGTTAAAAACTATTACGTGACCTAGTACTAAAAATATAAAGATTCACCGGTGCACGTACGAAAATACTTTAACTATATGATTTAATTTGTAAGATTCGCTTGAATTGTATGATACTGCAAATAATAGTAAAAAACATCAATGTATTCTAAGATCATCCAAAAACATACATAAACAGTCATAGATCCTTATTTATTTCCATAATCAATGACACGATTTTAAAAGTACAATATAACATCTCGAAACTCTATTTTTACTGGTATGGTAAAAAGTAAAGTGAAAGGTTGAAATTGTCGCCTATTGTGGCCACCCCCAGCGACTTTGTCGTCGTGACAAAGTCGCGCGAAAAAAAGTCGCCGCGTCAAAGTCGCTAAGTGTGGCCCTAGCCTTAAAAAACTCTTTCACCAATATTGAGATCAAAATCATACATAGGGTTTGTATATACATTTAGAAGCTAAGCCCTTATATCCAGGAAGATTTTGAAACTTACTTTTTTCATAATTAAAGTCCTTAAATAAATAACACTAAATATAAAATAAATACACTGCTTTATTTTATACCATCTCTGTTAATTGATTAGGTTGTTCAACGTTTTCTCAATTGAAACCACGATTCATTCTTCAAACATTTTCACAAAAAAAATCTGATAAATTTTTAAAACCAAATATTAATTAGAGAAACTAACCCATTATACAGGGTGAATAAAAAGTCAAGACCCGCCCCCTCTATTATTTTTCCAAGTAAATATACAGAGATATCCTTTTGGTGGTTGAGCAATCTTAGCAAAAAGTTTCATTTTATCATTTTGAAATTTTTGAGTGTCTCCTCAAAAGAGGGGATTTGGGGGGCAACTCAAATATTTTAAATGTAAACCCCCTTCAAGTGACACCTCATTTTGAAGTGTTTACGAAAACTTAAAGAATGGTGAAAACTAGAGGTCGCTATCTCTTCTCTATCCAAAATGGCAGCCAATATTAACAATTTTACCATTGATTTTCCACAACATTTGACGGGCTACCATTTTGGATAGAGAAGAGATAGTGACCTCTAGTTTTCACCATTCTTTAAGTTTTTGTAAACACTTCAAAATGAGGTGTCACTTGAAGGGGGTTTACATTTAAAATACTTGAGTTGCCCCCCAAAGGATTTGGGGGGCAACTCAAGTTTCCAAATCCTTTGGGGGGACTCAAAAATTTTAAAATGATAAAATGAAACTTCCTGCTAAGATTGCTCGACCACCAAAAGGATATCTCAGTATATTTACTTGGAAAAATATTAGAGGGGGGGTCTTGACTTTTTATTCACCCTGTATAAGAACTCATGAATCCAGTATGAGGAAGTGGCCAATACAGATTTTAAGTGTCTTAATATCCTGTTGCTATTGATTATATCTACTCAATCAACCAATGCTGTTAACCTACCTGCCGATCTTCGAGCACGGGGTACCATCTGTGCAGACGGCTGCCTTGCGGAAGCTGTGCTGATAACTATGGGAGGGTGGTAGTGGTTCTTCGGGGTCTGGGGGCTCCGCCCTGTAGTTGAGGCTAGGAGAGTGACGGGAGGCTATCTGCCAGGTAAGGAGGGCAGTGGCAGCCGAGGCGACCAAAACAGCAGCAACCCAAACTGCTAGGTAGCGCCTCTTTACGCTGGACCTGAAATGAAAATACACGTTGGTTGATACTGGCTGAAGTGGCTAGAGAGTTTTTGATCTGGTAAAGATTGTTTTGTGCCCGGGCAGTATGATGAGGCGATGATGAGTTCAGGATGGGTGTTCAATGGATAAAACAAGTTTTGTTAATGCCCAAGATCGACTAATTCTTTTGCTTAGGACCAATAATCAAGCCCACGGATCAAGAACGGTGTTGACAACTAGATTTATTTTCGAATCAACAAAAAGCTACTGCCTTTTCTCAGGATCGAACTAGCAACCCTCTAGAATATTTACATTGAGATAAAGTGACATCAAATATTTTCCCGCCTATTATGTTTTGTATGGGATCCTGTCTAACTTGAGCCTGGGTAACGGCCAGTCCCAGGTAGATGGAGGATCGTGAAACAGGTTCCTTCATACAGACTATAGGTGAGTACACCCACCATTTTAGTTAAAGAACACTAGACAGGTCGTCAATAATTGATGACCTGTAAAGGGTTCTTATTGGGATTGAATTGTTTCATTCCACACTCATCGTGCAGTATTGTAACACAGTATATTAAAATTCAATATTTTTCCAGGACATGACCTAAAATAATAACCATAATTATTATGTTTTACTATAATTCGCATGTTTTTCATGTTGGGATTTTTGACGGCAATTTTCTCAAGGGAGTGTACAGAAACTTGCTTGTTTTTCCTCAGTTGTTCTAAATCATCTTAAGTTTTTAATTTGTCAGAAACGAACCACACCAATTTCCGTTGAAACGAAGTTACATCGAGAAATATAACCAGAAAGGCTGGTTCGCTAGTTAGGTCCGAGACGCGGTGTGGAGTGTGGAGGCGGGTATAAATATCAGTGTAAAAATAGGTCTAGATGTTAATGACGGAAACAACGCAGTAAGCAAGAACAAACAGCTACGTCCATTTTGATACAACTTTAATTCAGTATCCAAAGTCAACGATTTAACTTCCTCTTTCGATGTTATTGTAGCTTGCGCTAAAGAAATTAGCCTCGTCACAGGAAACCTGTAGAATAAGCGTATTCCTAGCTGTAGCACTTGTTGAATTTTTAATTAAAAATAACAGAAAACCTCATTTCACGCTTCAAGTAAATAGCGAACGGTTTAATGAGTAGGCTTACCAGGGTTTACTTCTTTCCTTCCAAAATGGTTACACAATTGTTAACACGGTTGACATGCAAACACGATACAGTAGTTGACTATCTTACAGGTGTGTTCTAGAAGGAGAAAGTGCATCGGAACTAGAATAGCAGAATGTCGTAGGTAATGAATTTGTTGAGGCTAATGACTTTGTTTACGAATCTATTTATCCGTCGACGTTGCGTTTTTCTGTTACACGTTTCAGCCATAATGGACATATTGTTTAGTTTAAATTAATACCTAATTGTTCATAAGTAATGCAACAAAAAGTATCTGAATAGTAAAACTAGCCTTTTAACTACCTAATTTTTTACTTGCTTTATTATATTAAACAAATTAAATTGAAATGTTAAATGTTTAATCTGATAGGCCAACAAAATAATTTAAATAGGTAATCATATTTAGGCCTAAATCCATATAACTTACATGATGTATTAATTCACTTAATTTAGTTGAGCACGTGTGACTAAAGAAGTTAAAAACCTTGGGAAAATTTCTTCATTTAGCCTACAACATTTAACTGCCCTTCCAACAAGAGCTTCAGACTACGCTCTTTTAACAGGTTGCTCTTTACTTTACAAAAGAAGGCGGTGAGGTTAATTTGTAGTGTGAATAGAAGAACACATTGTAAGCCCCTTTTTGTGGGTCTTAACATTCTCACATTTCCATCTTTGTATGTTTTTGGCAAGTTTGTTATATGTAAAAGAAAACATTTCTCACTTTGAAAAGATATCTGATGTGCACAACTACTGTACTAGATCAAAAGATAATCTGTCTACACTAAGGCATAAGTATACAGCCACTCAAAATAGTTTTGAGTACCAAGGTGTTGAAATGTACAATTTCTTGCCTGCATCCATCAAAAACCTGTGTGTTTTAAAATTCAAACATGTTTTAAAAACTACTCTAACCCAGGCTTGCCTGTATAAACATGAAGAGTACTTTGGTTTAGAGTTTTAGATATTTTAGTTGCCAGAGCCATCTTGATTGTTTTGTTTTTATTTTGACGATTGTCATGAACTTTGTACATAGTTTTAACGACAATAAATCATTTCATTTCAAGTTTTCGTGGACTACTCACTCTGAAACCACTCCAAAATATGTTTTTGGCCATACTACTATCCCCGCTGTATCTCTTTTCAGTTAGGTGTAGGCCTACATGCTTAAACCTAATTTTCCAATAGTACAATCAGATCCCCCATAACTTTATTTTAAAGTAGGGATCTTAAAGTAACATTAAGTAATATAAAACCTTGCACGATGTTTTATTGTGGATCTCAAAACCCCAAAAGGCCCTAAACAGTTGCAGATATAGGTAGGCCTACATTAAGATATTTTCACCAATTACGTTTTTATGTGTGTAAATACTTTAAATAATCCGCCAAATACTTGTACTCCGAGTTTGCAACAACATTCTCACCATTCTGCAATTGCATGACTGCGGCATTGTCATTATCCTATTAGGAATGGACAGGATTGTAGATATAAAGTCAATGATTATACTTATCAAAAATTTCTGATCTTCTCTCTTGAACACCAATTATAAATAGTGATTAAGTGATAGAAGGCAGGTGCCATCACTTTAAATAATAGATTAAACTAGTTATTGTTCCTTTATCATTAACATCGTGAACACGTTAAATAATAATACAGTTATTAAATTATAGAGAACAGACAGACCTTAAAAATTCGCGAACAACTGAGTAGAACATACACATCTTGAATTTAGAATTTATTAAACCACACAAAATATTTTATGCAGTAAAACACGTTTTATAACCACAATAATAATGTAAATATTTTCATTTCACCTAATAAAATATAATCAGCTGTTCCCTTAATTAATTGCAGACTCAAAAGTATTCATGTGTTCAAATGTAAACAAACATTTTCTCCATAAGGACAAACATGGACAACATGGAAACTTTAAATACCCCTCCAAAGCAAACCTGCCGACTAAGCGAAATTCCATTTGTCTGAATGGATTTTCAATCAAATCTATTTAAATAACATTAGTTTAACGAGTACCCAGGTTTGCTGCTGCAAGGAAACTAATAAAGTGTGTTTTTTTTTGTAAAATATTAATAGCTTAGTATGAAATAAATAAATATGCCAAGTTTGATCAAAATATATCCATAAACAAGCAAACTACAACATTTTACAATATTCTCCATAAGAATTACATGGGGAAATTAAAATTTAATTTCCTCCGTTACCAAGAACCGTACAAAAACACTTTGGTATACTACATTATTTGTTTTTTAGGCTCTTTAAAAGTCACCAAACGGCTTTGAAAATTCCAAATTATCCTGGGGAGCACCCCCGGGAACCCCTGCCTTATTGGGGGGCGCTCCACACCCCCCAAGCCCCCGGGTTGCCCCCCCCCCTTGACAAGGTCCTAGAACCGCCACTGGACAAAAGAGAAAAAAATATTTAAAACGGGGCTACATGGCTACCAATCAGTCGTGACAAAACAAGTACTGTATCAGACAAAACTGAACATGCAAGCAGGCATAAGGGTCACACACAATCGGTTCAATTCAAGGCTACAAGATTGCCTGAGATTTCGTTAAAATTTAATTAGTCTCTTAATTTGACACGTGTGGTAGAGTTGCACATTAGGACTGAGGAGGAAAATATCTAGTTTAAAAAACAGTCTAGTCTTTTTTATATTATCTTGGATGAATATTTTTTTCTGTTAAATTTGCATGTAAATGTTCGCTTCACCGTTGGTTAAATAGTCACCATATGTAATTCGATAAAACGTGTAGAAATAAATTAAAAAAAAAAAAACTGTAGGAGTAAAAACCAGACTTTTACGTTAATTCATTACCACTATACTATTTGGATGTAACAAACAATTTAAGTGTTAAATTATGCCTTTGTCCCAACCTAACCCATCACAAAAAATGACGATACAGTAAATGACATTAGCTGGAAAAATAGTGGTAAGGAGGGATTAAGTCCAATAGTCCATATATGCTGCTAGTCAGTTATTTAAGGTGTCAATGTCAATGTTTGGTAATCTCTACGGACGTCAATAAGCTATCAATAATTTATTATTATATTGCAGCGAAAAATTTTCCAAGCTGTAAAATAGATAGAGACGCAAATCAAATTGAGGTTAAAAGTGTTGATAACACCTGTTTCTGCCGATGTTGCAGCAATCAGCTGTTTGAGGCCCAATACGGGTTGTCAACAGGGTTACCAACCTTGAATGTTGATTCATAAAATGCGCAGTAGCTCAATGTTTGCGGTTAAACGTCAGTAGATATTGATTTAATTTTTAATATGCTCCTATTTTGGAACAATAATTCTAATTATTTATATGAAGAATAATAATATCGATTGTGTAATTAATTACATGTGAATAAAATTGCATGAATAAATATTTCCAAGTATAATACTAAGTTAAGTAAATCCACAGCTAAATTTGTAAAACAATTGTATGATCCCGTACTGGTAGGGTTGTGAAAGTTACAAGAAACTAAAAAACCGTTCCTTCTTTGTAAATAAACGGTTGGTTTTTTTGTCCCATCTTCACATCCTAGGACTCTACGCTCTAAACTAGAACTGTTTAAACATTACTTCTAGAGACTAGAATACCTAGATATTACTAATATATGCTTCATAAGTCATAACTAACATATTACTTATCTTGTCTGTACCTAGATGTTCGCGTTCTTATCCTTGAAAATGTTGGTGATTTGCGGGATTTGAACCTAGTACCTCGTGGACCAAAGTCCCACGCTCTACTAGAAGACCAGCCAACTCCCGAACTCGTTCGACGGTTGGTTAACCCATAGATTCTTATGGACCGTTTGTTATTCTTATGGACTTACTGAAGACAATAAATTCTGATGTTTATTTTTTATTTCACCGGTAAATGGTATGTTTTGTTGTTTATTATTTATTTCTCAGCGACTTTGAAACGATTTTCACCAAATAAAACAATCTATAAAGTAATGCTTGTTATCTAATCACAACGAAAGAGTTAATTAAACATTTAACAATATAATGAAATAGGAGGGAAAATATTTAGTCTACATCAGCTCACTCAAATTGGACAAGCGATGCTTGTCAAAACGGGTAGGCTTATCATATGTTTGTACATGAGAGGCTTATTGCATTATCTTAAGTCAAGCAAGGGTCAAGGGATCGACCTAGAGGGTTGTGTGCAACAAGTTTTGTCAACTTTGTATAATAAATGTTTATATTTAAAGACATTTAATGATTAAAATATGTATTTTGTGTTACCGATGACCTGATGTAGTCTAAGAAATGAATACATCCTCAACTTTATTAGGGATGGATACAAACCTATTTATTTATTCAAATTTTTTATAATGCGTAATAAGTTGTCAATTTTAAAACTACCAAACATACAGTGTCCCTGATGTAAGTAACCAACACAAGTAGACTTCTACCATTGTAATTTTGAAGCTCGTTTTTCATGTCCGGTGAAACTGGTCGATAAAATTTTGTTTTTATTATTTTGGGAATTTCATGATTTGTTCTCAACTGTTGGTTATATAACTATAGGGAACGAGTCATTGTTTATGATTAGATCTTTATTTGGGCAACGGAGTTTTTGGATTACTGAAATAACAAGAAACAAATTGTAAACAAAACACGACCTCTCCAGTACACCGGACAGAACTAACAATAAGATTGTCTTCAGCTGATCCATAAGGATGAGAAATCTACTATGTTTTGTCTATGGTAAAAGTTAATAACCTTAACTTTTATATATTGTTAAGAGGACTGAAAACATAGTTGTTGAATCTCAATTTGTCACCAAGTATGTACAATAACAAAAGTTGTTTAGCAGGTAATGTTTTGAGATGATTCATCGTTGTGATAAGATAATATTTGACTTTGTTAGCAGCTGATGAACGTGATCAGGTGTGTCAACAGAAACAACTGCGCAGTTCTACCAACCACACCCAGTTTTGAAACTGTAAAATGAATCATATACACTCCATGAAAGACAATAAAACAATAAACCACAGATTGGCGTATCTCTTGTTTCGTTATTGGAAAACTTTCCAGTGTAAAAAGTGTTAGATAAGAAAAATTATGAAATCCTTTCCATTTGAGCAATTGTGGTAAAATCTACCATTTTCAATCAGGTTGTGGTCTTGTGTAACAATAAGCTGTAAAGTTTAGTAGAAAGTTTCTGTGATAAAATCATAAACAAGCAAACTCTATATTTTTTTCCTAATGGCGTTTGAGGTAAATGTGCTATGAAAAGAAGCCTAAGAAAGTTTAACATGTTAATAATTAAAAGTTGTTGACCTATTCATAGTTTATTTTTGCAAATAATTAAAGACTACAGTACTCTGAATAGATTGGTAAAAACATGCATTTTCAATGTTCAATGATTACTCCAGCCAAATTGAAGGAATCTTTATATGTTTTTGTCCTTTCAAGCCGAACAAAAATTTAATGTTTACTTACTTTGCTAAACACATATAAATCATTCAAGCCTTTGCATGACACATGATGATTCATACTTAATCTGCAATGAACTCAAGTAAAATTAATCATCCTAAACAACAATTCGGTCCAAAATATAAATTTTCGTTCAATTTAAAAATTATTTATTTCTAATTGTATTTGACTTTTATGAAATAAGTATATACTGTAATGTGTAGCGGATGCTTTGATTCTACGACCCAGACGAGGTCGAGTTTATAAGTCCTTGAAAGAAACCTCTGAACAGTGTATGACCTCATATTAACTACTTGCCTTGTACTCTCTTTGTTGTTCTTTGTTCGGTTGTCTTTGGTTATTTAACAAATTTGGTAACATGAAACTAAAATTTATAATTAGATACAGTATAGTAGTAACAATGCTCCACGTTTTGACATGTTAGTTTAAAAAGCTTAAACATGCTAAAAGTGTAGATACTAATAAATAGGTATAAACAAAATAGTCAAAGAGTTTTTGTAAAGTAAAGGTTGGTATAACTCCAGTTAATTGTTACTTTCACGTTAGTTTATGTTCCTAGACTCAAATAATGATGAACAATAGTTGAATATATGTTTTATAATTCGCTGAGTTTATAACTTGTTCGACAAATTTTTCTTTGAAAACCAATTTTGAAAATATCCAATCAATTTTAAATTATAGTGCATATTAATTTAAAAAAAATATTTTTCTCGCGTAAAAAAATAAGAAATTAAAACATGAATGCGGTAATAAAATAGAGGTGCAATGGTCTCGGGGAGTTTTTCACAGCACCTTCAATTAACTGATGCAAATACCAACGCATGTGTGTACTGTAAATTAAAACAACGATTTGAAGGCGCCTATTTCTTTTCTGCGTAATTGTGCATTCTAAATAATGACCACTGTCGCTTCCTAGAAAGTTTTCCTATCTATTTGTTATATGTTAATAATAGAATGAGGAAACCAAGGATTTGCATTTTTATCGTAAAACATTTAAGGGATTTTTTTTTATTTCAATTTAATCTCGCTATTAACAACTGTATTATAAAGTAAATCAGTCCCAGGTCTAGTTCTTACCATGAGACCTACGGTAATAGCTTATCCTCTATGGTAATTTTGCTACTACAGTGTTTACAAAATCATGATGTACTTCCAATATTCAAAATCATTGGTTACACAGACATTACGCGCCTGTTATGCGCCTGCAAAAATCAACGGCAGTCTGCCTTTTGTACAGTACTGCAAATACGTTGGCTAATATGAAGGCGCGAATATATTCATGATGATAATTGAAATTAAATCTTAGGGATGTATTCACAAAAAATAAATAAGTAGTGTGGTGTAATTATGTTAAGAATCTGTAAAATATGATGACATATGTTGGAATATTTAGGGTATTTAAAGTTTTAAATGGTTAAAAATAAATGCGGTTGTGTGGGCAAACAAAATCTGTTCTGTAAAAACAAATATCTGTTCGACTCTTGTATTTTCCTCTTTTATAATCAGTAAAATAATAAGTTTTTTTTAAATTTATCTATGCATTTATATGTGTTATTTTCGTCCACACTGCAAACTCCATCTTATTTCTTTATACAATAATATTTTAGTAGGCCCTTACGATGTAGTAGAAGTATGATTGTACTGTATAGGTTTTTTGGAAATTTAAGTTTGTTATTTATTTAATTACTTTGTTAACGTATAAATTTCAGATCGGATAAAAATATGTTCATTGCGCCTTAAAGAGTTAGGCTACACCAAAAGTATGTTTGGACCTATCCCGTTACACCCCTACCTCTGTTTTTGTTTTTATTTAGATACAAATTTTATTTATTTACAAATTTTGTTTAGTATCATATTATAGGTAAGATAAAACCTAATTGGGTTTGGTTGCGTAAGGTTAGTTTAAAGCTAAATCATAAAACCTAACGTAAAACCTAAATTGTATAATGTTACAAACAAATTGGATTGTGGTCGACCTTTTTCGTATAAGAAAAAATATTTGTAATTTTTTTTATTTGTAGTTTATCCTGCTAAAATGGAAGCTGATAGAATTGTTTCCGAATCCAATGTGGTGAAAACATAATAAATATTTAACCGAACATCTTAAATTTTATTGCAAATCAAAGGACTCTTCCCAGCATGTCCAAGTGAACCCTATCCCACCGACCACACGACCAACCTCTGTCCCGGTTCCTCCGCTTCCACCGGGATCTCCGGGGGTTCCTGCGGGATAGTCTGGACTTCCACTTCCCGGGAGATCTTCCTCAACCTCCTACGTCTCGTTCCAGGTCGTCCACGGGCCGAGAACCTAAGGACCGCCATACGAGCCGGCGCTGCCCCATCACTGAACCACTAAACTTTCCCCTAAAACGGGATATTTCGTGCGTCCGAGGGATAAATTAGGAACGAGGAATGGTTTTCGAATGCAAAAAAAACTGATCGGTATCGGATTTTCTATTGATTTTTCTCGTAGAATATGTTAATTCCTGACCAACTAACAACAAGAGTTGTTTTAACGAGGGGAAATGAACATTTAAAGACATGTATGGGTAAAATGGGATTTTTAATTTTGATGAAGGGATAAATAGGGATTTTCACTACTATGTGTGGGATCACGTGGGATACATCTATTGTAACGTGCTTGCGTTCGGTCAATACACCGCCCACCACCCACTAAATGCTGCCAACCCTACGCCACGTTAAACCCATAGCCTATATAGTACGTAAGGTTTTTATTTGTATACAATATTTGGAATATTTTTTTAAAAAATTTTACAAAATTAAATTTTTTCTAACACAGCCGATATTGACGTAGCGAATTACAAAAACCGTGGTGAATTAAAGGTTTACTTAAGCAAATAGACTTCCCAATACATTGTATGGCCTATTAAGATCTATGTAAAGAGAAAACATCTACACACCCATATACCGAATATATAGGATACCGTCAAACGGTATCTAGGTAATGGATAAAAATAATAGGCCTAAATGTAATGGGGGAGATTTTACCATTGACTTTGGATACTGTTTCGTTCTATTGTAAAATATATTAAGTGTATATGTTTTCCGTATTTGCCAACGCACGGGCATGTCGAGTAGTATGTCTATATTATTTTAGGGAAAAATTTTACAAAGCGTTTTAAGGTTTTATTCATCCTTTACTTCACCAGAAGACAAACGGTAGTGCAGGTATTGTACCTATTGATCGGTATATTTTAATAGTAAATGGACAATAAATAAATAGAAGACGTCAACATATTCGAGTGCTATTATTTAACATAGACTTTCCTAAAAATTGTCTCTATAAGAAAACCCTACAAGCGAGTGAAGCGAGGGCGATAAGTATTTTCCCGCAATCGTAACTACAGAAGTTAGTCATTCATTTGTATAGTAACATTAACTACCATAGCTCTAGCTCGGGAAGCAACTCACGTGATAATAATTCCGTTTTAATACCCGTTTTATGAACAATCCCGCATACCGTACCTAATATTTTATTTTATTTCTCATGTTTCTTGAAATTGTCATACAATATATATAGTCAATGAGAAAACATAGCAACAGAAACACGGCATAATTAACACCGAGTGAAAATACATTTTCTCGTAAGACCGTTAAAAGTTTAAATGAACTTTGTAATGTTCCAAAATGATATAGTTTGAATTAACCGCGATTTTATTTTGCCTCGATGCACTACTCAATGAGAGCGGAACTTCATACAGATAACGTTATAAGCATAAACACAAGACGCTAACAGCGCTCCACTATCGGAATCCAGCGGAACTATTTGTCGGTAACGCAGTACAAACCACCTTAGAAAAATAGGAAAAATCAATATTTTCACGAAACTTTTGGATTTACGTGGTAAACAAAGTGGTTTTAAAAGGTTATATAACATAAAAAGTCCAAAATTTGAATCTATATAGTTTATTTGTAATTTTTAAAAGATCGGTTCTCGCAGGAATGTGTGCACTCTCTAGTTGAATATATAGCTGGCTGTTTGCCACAGCGAATGGGTGGACCGATGCTTCTAGGTGTCGAATGAGGCGACTCAAACCGTGAATTACATTAATGTACTCACCCCAAACTGTTGTTAATTAATTGATTATGATTCAAGTAATGATATAACCTACACCTCAGGAGCGGACTTTGTTCACCTTTTGCCATTTTAAACTCAAAAAGCTATGTTAGCTTTTAGTTGTACTTTTGGTGTATACTTGTACTTTTTGGGATTCTCTTTATTCAATTTTCCAAATCATTTATTTAAAAGAAGTCTTTTGTCGGATTAAACTGTAAACTAGAGCTAAGTTAAGTTTTTGCATTTTCAAGTAAAATTTGTATTAATGTTTTGTGTGCGTGATTACAGTACTTGTTCAATCTGCAAAAAGTAATTATTATCAAAACTTAAAAGACAGTTCAAGGATGTTAATTTCACTAATCTTACCAATAGACGATTAAATTAAAATTGATATAACAGATTGTATAAGTTCTTGTAACAGTTCATGTATTTATCCCTGCTTAGGTTATTTATCCCAGTATAAAATATAACGACTTATATTTTTAACAGTTTATAATCGGGAGTAACCTAAATGATTTGATTAGTAATTCGAAGAAATTATAATTATTGTAAATTTAGTAGCCCTACTAACCTTGAAAATAAACATGACGAATTTAAAAACCAACTAGAAACCTTGTAAAAATTCGAGTTTTCGTATTTAAAAAGATCAAACAGGTGAACAAGGCATAAAACAAATATTTATTATTGAAATCACCAGTAAATAATTTATGGTGTTTATGCAACAATTACTGAAATTTTACGATTACGTGTTCACTTACAGCCATAGCAATCAACAAATAATTATCTGAAATTAGATTATCTAGTTGCTAAACGTAATTTAACCAGTGACTAATTCATCCATTGCATAGTAATCTAATGTCAACATTCTAAACTCTCCCTAATCTTTTGATAACAATTATTGCTAGATAATACAATTTTCAGTAAACTCAGGACACAACCAAGTTTTTACACGAGCTTTAAAAGATTACGTACGAAACTCATGATTACATTTTCACATGCTGACAATAATTTTTGGTCGAAGCAAAATAATGGTTTAAATTCGTGGTACCGGTACAATTAAAAGTTTAAACGTTAAAGATTAAAAGTTAAGATTAAAGATTAAAAGTTTAAAGATAGAAACAACTGGTTTGTGTGCATCTGTAGGATTAAATTCGCAGTGGAGTCTTATACATTTTATTGTCAGCATTGTTATTGCTGAATGAAACTATTAATTTTCTGTCCATGATAAATCAGCTGTTTGTAATTAACATTGTTATCATTTAACAATCAAATATGACTATGATGCGCTTGCCTCAATCAGTAATAACTGTATTTTTAAAGTTTCGTATTTAATGGTTAACTATTTTAATGGTCTTTTTATACGTTCGATTTTTAGTTACTTAAAAACCGTAGGAGTGTCCTTACCAAAATGTATTGTAGTCAAACACTTAGGAAATGACATTAAACCAAAAATGCAACACTTGGATGAGTTAAGAAGCAGTTTTAGGTACTGTACTTCAATAACATTTTTCACCCTGTTGTAAAAACTGATGCTTGTTTTGTAGTTAACAATGTTCTAAACACTCAAGTTTGTCCACATGTCAACTAAATAAGCCTAGCATATTTTAGCATACATTTACTCTATGGGAATACCAGAGGATGCTTACTCTATGGTAAAAGAATAATCAAATGAAAATTAATTGTAGTTTTAAAATTTTCAAGATTTCGACCAATTGACCAGTATACAGGGTGAATAAAAAGTCAAGACCCCCCCCCCCTCTAATATTTTTCCAAGTAAATATACAGAGATATCCTTTTGGTGGTCGTGCAATCTTAGCAGGAAGTTTCATTTTATCATTTTGAAATTTTTGAGTGTCCCCCCAAAAGGGGGGATTCGGGGGACAACTAAAAATGTTTCAATAGAAACCCCTATCAAGTGACACCTCATTTTAAAGTGTTTACAAAAACTTAAAGAATGGTGAAAACCAGAGCTCGCTATCTCTTCTCTATCCAAAATGGCAGCCAATATTAACAATTTTACCATTGATTTTCCACAACATTTGACGGGCTACCATTTTGGATAGAGAAGACATAGCGACCTCTAGTTTTCACCATTCTTTAAGTTTTTGTAAACACTTTAAAATGAGGTGTCACTTGAAGGGGGTTTACTTTTAAAATATTTGAGTTGCCCCCCAAATCCCCCCTTTTGGGGGGACACTCAAAAATTTCAAAATGATAAAATGAAACTTCCTGCTAAGATTGCTCGACCACCAAAAGGATATCTCTGTATATTTACTTGGAAAAATATTAGAGGGGGGGTCTTGACTTTTTATGTATAAACAAAACCACATACATCCACAGATTTTTGTTAGTTTCGCCGTAATTAAAATTGACAACAGATAGAAATACTTGAATGCATGAGTAGTTAATTGAGAATCAGTCAATTTTTTATTCAAACATAATCTTTGTAAAGATTTTAGGGCACACGAAAGCGATATAAAATTTATCAATTACAGTATCAATTATTTGAGATGAGTTCGCCATCTACTAAATAAAAAATATGAGTGAAGTAGGTGCGAATTTTCAAATTTTAACACAAATATGAGTGAATGGTGAGTTTAGAACGTTGTCAGATTATCTATCAAGCTTTGTTACTGACCAAGACCAGCTGGTTCAGTCATGATCATTTTATCATTTATTTAAAACCCAATGATCAGAAACAGCTGGGTCCGGCTTTTGAACCATAAGCTACTGAATTTTCTCAGGATCGAACCGTATAATCGAAATGATAAAAAAAGAAGTTAAACGAAAATATATTATGTAAATACCTCAGGTAGGCAAAATCCTGCGCAACAACCATGTTCCGAACAAATACAATCAAAACAAACACAACAATGCATCCAAAGAAACATCAGCATAGTGGGCCGAGGGGCTAGGTCATAGCCCTTTATATAATGCCCTTCCAGAAGGGTCGGCCGTATTGAATAATCGTTCTAAATTGTGTCATAAGACAATGCTTGTGGCAAATTGTGACAGTTTGGCCAACTTATGCAACTGCATCGAGCACTTTTGACAGGGTAGTATTGGAGGGTTGTATGATATGGTGTGACTATGAGCATAGACAAAAAGAATGGTTATAGGTTCTGGCGCACACCGCTGGGAGCGCCATGTTACTGCCTACGCGCTTTGCAACTACACGGCGCTCCCAGCGGTGTGCGCCAGAACCTGTGGTAACCATGGTAACCACTGCACGGCTGACAGTCTATATTTAAT